ACATTTGCGGTCATTGATCTCGGGTACGGTAAGTTAGTTAAATCACTAATGAATGTAACAAAACAATAAAGGACAACACTCGAAACAAAATGACATTAAATGTGGAAGGTGTTTTGCAAGTGAATTGTGTTTTTTTTTGGTCAGCCATAAATCTATATATGTAGGTTCGTTGCGCTGCTAGGACCCCGCGATCGGGCTAGAATTGCCCTGGTACCATCGTTCGTCCTCTTGCCCACCGTCTCACGTCCCGCGCTTCTCGGCTCACACACACGCAACTGGAACGAACTCACTCGGAGAGGTTCACGTTGGACAGTCTTCTATGCAGTCGACATTCTCACGAACTCCAGTTTTCATCTCCACGAAACCTTCTGGCCCGGTTCCGGTGGGTGTATTCCGGACCGCCTATGGGCAAAAGCTTCCCTGGACTTCCGCTAGATGGCGCGTCGCCCTCAGCCCTGGCCAACTATCGCTCAGGTTGGACAACCCCCGATAATTTTAAGGGATTTCATTAAACATTAAATGGTCCTAAGTAAAATATTTTTCCCCACAATAAAAATGTATCTCTCTGAAGAAAAAAACGTTTTAAATCAACAAAGCTAATAAATCAATAATGAATTTTGAATATTGTTTTTATTGTACATTTTAACATGTAAGCTAACTAAAAAAATCTAAAATAAAAAGAAAGAAAATACATGTCTTGAAAAATAACGCCATGCAAAGCATTACATATATGTAGACTTAACCTTTGGTACATATTCATACATACATATGTACATACTTGAACAGGATGACGCACTCATGCGTGGTTTTAAAAACAGGTGATATTTTCGGTATCCTTCTCTATAAAATAATAAAAGCTTGGACATCTGACGCTGGCCTTTGCTTTTAGTGAAATACACTATAGAACAGCCAAAAATGTCTTAATATGAAAATTAATCATATTAATAATAATAATATTACAGATTCCTGGTCCAAACGACGAACAAACATTTCTTTGATTGTAAACTATTTTTGTTTTTAATTTTGTACCGCAATCAAAATTTTCTTATTCGTTCGATATGTTGTCGGTCCTACTGTTCTATATATATCAACCTTTCCTGTTTTTTGTATTCAATCCGCAGAGGCATCTGACGTACGTTACGTTATTACGAGGTAATAAAAGTAAAAAAAACATACCCTTATCCGAGATTGTGATTGATAACTTCAATCAAGAATCATATTTCTTAAAGGAGTCAATAACAAAGGAAAACATGACCGTTAACATACAAAAATAGCAAAAAATTTACTTTTGTCGATTTTAAAAGGTTTTCACGTCAAAGTTAATACGTTTTTATGTCTATTGGTTAAATTAGTTAACTTTCAATAAATTTAGAAAATATCGGGACAGAATTCTATGGAATTAATTTTTTAATTGTATTAACTATTAATGTTTTTCAGCCTGGTCACCACAAAAGTATACATTCATTGTTCTAGCTAATTTTCACCAACAAAAAAGATCACTGACTTAAATTGTCTATTTTAATGCGGAATCTAAATCGTTTTGATAAATTTTTGGTGTGAACACGCAGGGCCATAATATATATTATATAATTCAATTTTCAGAACTGCAAAGCCTGCTCGATTTCATTATACATTATTATATAGAAAACTATAAGATTTCCCCAAAAAAGGAAAACAAACAAAAATGTATAAACACAAATTTTTCAATTGGTTTCTATTGCATTCTGTTGAGTTTTTTATTTTGTGTATATATGCAGATGTAATTAAGTTCAATTAACTTATTTTTTTATAGCTGGTTAATTTATGCAATGCTTACAATCGAAATTTAGCAAAGCTGTAAATCAAAGGAAAGCAACATCGTATTACTTCAAAGTTTAGAACATTTCCGATTCCGTTTTAAAAAAAACATTGCAGGTGATGTTTTGAGGTTGTCTATATGTCGTCTATATCAATTTCATCTCCTTCCTCATCCTCCTGGGCTTTCTTACTAACGGCAACGCCAAGCCCACGTTCCAAGGATACGGCAACCTTTAATGGTTCAATGCGGGCCCGATCATCGTACTCAATCTCCACGTCAGAATCGCCAGCAGCATCATCATTATTTCCAGAGGAAGAATCTTCTTCTTCGGCATCTTTGAGCCACTGTACAAACGGCTTTACCTTCTCATGTATCTCGGTGGCAATTTTCTTGGAAACATGTCGTTTGCTCACTTTCTGTGCCCAGTCCAGAATCACTTTTTCATCGAGTATGTCCAAATCGTAAAAGATTTTGAAGATCCCGGCGACCTTGCTCATTAGCGTATTCGTATGTAGCTCGACAGTTTGCTCGATGCCGCCAATTAAATAGCGCTGTGCTTTTGGATTATTATGAGTAAAGCGAAGTAACAAGATGCGGTTTTTGCGAACGTCATTAATAATGTTCTCAGTGAACAAAAGCTCAGCGAGAACCAGCGGGGATTTGTTAACTATGTCCAATCGTTCGGCTTCGATCAGCAGCTCCTTGTGTACAGAAACATCCTCCAGCTCTCTTTTGTCACGCTTGTTTTTCACCAATTCATAAAAGATATCAATGCGTTCCTTTTCTGTCTTGTCGTAGTCCTCCGAAATTGTCATGCCCTTAGCACCATCGGTTAGATCTTGTAAGCGCGCGCGTATGGCCTCCTATATGGGTACATAAATTATGGATTCATTAATGGCAGCATTAGTTTGGTTTGAAGCAATTCATGTTTATTACCTTAGACACGTCGACGCTCCAGCCATCATCATCGTCTTCACCTATATTTTTCTCCGGAATGGCCGCGCTTATTTCAGCCTCCGTTTGGCTGGCCTGATTGGGGCCATTGCCGCCGTCCGACTCTCCGCCAGAATTGTTGGCTATTGAGTTGTTACACATGGAGCCATCAGAGTTTTCGTTCTTCTGTTTCTGCTTTTTCGAGCGTTTCCCTTCAGTGAGCGAGGAACCTTGAGCGGCTGGGTTAAGTGATGGTGGATTTTTCACAATGAATGTGTTCACTTTGTGGTTCACCTTAAGCAGACCATGGAAGCCGCATGCCTTGCAGGACTGCGAGATTGTCTGGTTCCTTGCTGATACGGTCAGATTAGTCTCTGGGTTATCGCATTCAGGGCACAAAACAAACTTTCGAATGAAGCCATCCAACAAATCCTGAAGCTTGTTGACGTCATGCGATCCATTAACAATAAACCGTTCATTCTATAAAAAGAGATTTTTTTAGTCATATTTAAATAGCATACAGCCTTCGAAAAAATATGCAGACAGCGACAAAAGAAAACCGTACTCTGAAATTTGTATACATTTGTGCTTTCCCTAGTCGGTGGTTTCCGAAAACGTTATTCTATTCGTCTAATTTTTATTTTGGGTTGTCACTAAATCATTTTCAAACAAATGTCCATAAGTATATTTCATATACTTGCAATCATATAGTTCTACGAGCCGTAATATTATTTACAAAACGTCATTAGCATCAGATGCTTTCTCACCAGGATTTTGAACCTGATCCTGAGGCTATTTCTTATAACAACACGATCTTTCCTTAACAAATAGCTAAGGATGAAAATCTGTGATATCCAGAATTTTGAAGATACGAGAAAACCGCAAACAGTATATTTTCGAAACTGTGGATGCCACAGATGTTGCGTCCTTTGTGGAGGCGAAAGGGAGCATAGCAAAATTTCGAAATAAACTTGATTCTGTGTGAGATGACAGAAACCTACAAACAAAATTTGGTTGATCTAGCTATTTTAGTCTCTGAGAACTTGGCTTTAAGCAAGACGGACAGACAGACATTGCTATATCGACTCGGCTATTGATGCTCATCAAGAATACATATAGTCTATGCGGTCGGAAAGTCTTCCTTCAGGCTGTTACACACATTCACTTTCACCACAATTTTAATAAACCCGTATACTGTTAGAGTATCGGGTACAAAACTATGCAACACCATATTCACGCTTCGAACCAAACCGACTTTTGATAGATTTAACAATTTGTAATACAAAATTTAATTGTGTAGTGTAATTAGATGAATAGAATAACATTTTCGAATACCACCGATTAGAGAAGGCAAAAATTCATGAAATTTCAGAGAGCGGCTTTTCTTAACGCTGGTGTGTGTAAAAATATGCAAATTAACATTTTTCTAATCTAACTGACAAATTAATAAAAATTAACATATTTCTCTAAAACTTTAGATAAATATACTCATTTTTTCCCCAAGACTGTATATAATCGAGATACACGTCCACTACAAATAGGACTCGAATAATTTTTTGCTTACCTTATGATCGAAAAGTGTTTGAGCGCCCAGCTCACAGCCAAAGTACTTTGTCGGATAGGTGGCCGGACGACCAATAGCGCGTGCAACTTCAGCCATATTAACCAAAACAGTCTTGATGCCGTTGCCTTTTCCTTCTACCTTTGCTTGAAGACGCGGCATTTTATATCGATAAAAGATATCTGTCACACTACGGTTAACGTTGACGGTGGCCATTTTGGAACTTTTTCGGAAAAAATATGTAAAGGCTAATGACCGTTTTTAAAAGCTTATTGTAATTGCTTGTGTTGTACGAGGACCGTCAAGGCAATTTGTTGGCTTTTTCTTTGGCTGTATAGTGATTTCTTTGCTTTTCGTTCCGTTTATAAAATTCTCATTTCTTTGTTTTATTTACGTGGCGGTGCACGTAAATACTTAAATGGGACTGAGTTGAGATCGTTATAGTCTCAGAACAGTTTGGCTTTCTGTGCCGTTTCTTGTGGCGCTTTACTGTCTTTTGGTTTTTAACGACTCGGAATGGAACATAAAGTCCTAGAGAGCTGAGTCTTCACTTGATTTTGAATTGGAGATTACGAATCAGCTTTTTCGCACCAACAATGATTTTGGGATGTGTATATTTTATTATTAATGTACGTTTTTTTCAGTATTCTCTGATTTTTTCCAGATTAATATATATACTGTAATTATTTTAGTATATATTTAAATGTATTTATTTTATATTTTTGTTATAATTAATTGGTGTTTTGTAATTTTTGTAATTATCAGAAGTCTTTTGCCACGGCAAAGTATTCGGCTCACGTGTACCTGAACGGCTGTAACTTTCGATGCCTGTTACTTGAAGTCCTGTTGAGACAGAGAATCATATCAGAACGGTTGTTTAACTTTATCATCATATTAGGTAAAAAGTGCTGCAACCCTGTCAAAGGGTTTCTCATACTTTTAGGTTTAAATTCTTGTTTTTCAATCAAGTCCCATTTTTACACCCAGAGACAAAAAAAATCCAATCAATTCCTAAAAAAAGTACACACCTATTTGGTCTTATATTATATTCATATACTTAGAAACAAATAATATCTAAAATCACACGTTTGTAACGCTTTTTCGACAAATTTGATCAAACGGAAGAAAAAATTAAAATAAAATAAAATAGAAAAATGACATTTACAACCAAAACTTATTCTTTTTCAAATGAGTTAATTTTTTTCTTGTAAACTAAAAAAAAATTCAACGTAATTCAGACCTTTTTTTAAATTAGTAATTAAACAATATTTTGTGGCACCAATCTTAGCAATGGGATCGTGTTATTATGAAACGAGCCTCAAGACTGGTTCAAAAATGTTGTTGAGATAGCATCAGAGGAGCAGCAATGCCATGTATTTGGGCTAGAATGTCGGCCAAAGGAGGCGTCTTTAATAAGAAGGTCACCTAGCAAAAAGCCACATCTGCATATTCGAATAAAGAGTGCTTGATTAAATTGGTCTAAAGAAAAATCTAATTGGGGTGAATCTGAGTGGTAATGAATCATATAAAGCTTTGCCGAAAATTATTGCATTGCAACCGTAAAGCATTATGATAAATAATGGTATGGTAGGGTATGGTGAATGTAAAAATTTATTTATTTATTTATATACAATGAGGTTAGAGTTAAAACTATTAACATAGCTTATTTAATAATGAATTTAAAAAAGAAAGATTAAATTATTCGCAGAGAAATTTTATCCAGTATGGAATCAGTTACTGAGAGAGAAGATGATTCCATCTTTTACGACGATTCTGCACCTTGTCATCGAGCACGCTCTGTAAGTGATTCTTTGATATTTTTTTATTTTAAGAATGCATTCAACGAGTTTCAATTTTTTTTCAACGACAGACAGACATGAAGCCGGAATAGGACATTAAGTACTTAGATTCGTCATCTAACAGTCCCGGCCCCAATCCGATAGAGAATGTCACTTATGACAGCCAAAATAAGACAGCGAAAGCCAAAAACATAGAGAACAAGCATAGAGTAAGAGGAAATTTTAGAAGAACTTTGTTTTTAATTATGTGAATATGACATCAGTATATACTTTGGTTAGGAATGGATTTATTGACACAATAAATAAATTGTACAAATCGGATAACATTTGTTCAAGAAGTAAAAAATGGAGTAGTAAAATACGCATGAAATATCAGAGTGCGGTTTTTTTTCCGCTGGGTGTATATACAAAGTCGAAGGGATAGCGATGGTTTACGACAAGAAGACGACGAGTCTGTTCGATGATTAGCTCGAGTCAAGACGGGGTCAGATTGAAGAAGCGGGGGTCGGCTCAAGACGGTGTCGGGTTGAAGAACTACAGATGTGCAAGAAGTAATTGCTAGATCCCGATCAAAGTCAAGGGCAGGTGTGCCAAATTGTACATGCCCTAATGCAAGCGAGAGCGCGACAGATTGATAGATATAGAGAAGGCAAAAGAAAGACGCTAGAGAACGGCTTCATAGGCTGCTGACGTAAGGGATTTATGTATGTATGCATAAATTGTACAATGTGGTACAGTTGGCAGTGCAAACAACAAACAATAATAGGGATTTACTTAACTGCTGCACCACTGGCTATAATCTATGGACTATTGATAATATCGAGCTGTTGGGTAACGCAGGATAATAAAAAAAATAAAATGATCTGTTATCATATTTAATTTCTTAGAAATATGAATTAAATTTTTTTTTTGTATTGTATTGTATTATTGTATTTATCGAATCTTCTCTCTTGGATACTTTCGACAAGTAGGTAAATCTTAATCTAATACATTTATTTAATTAATTAAAATTCATTACTTAGAGTATTATTTGATGGGGGGGAGGTCTTATCACCGGAGTCGTGTATGGCTAGCTTGCTAAGTTAAAAACTGTGCCAGCCTATTCGGACCGGCCAAGAGTTTGATCTGATACTTTACTTTTACTTAGGCGATTTCATCTTTCACAGATTCTACATTTAAGTCTTCATGAATATTTTTATTCCGTATGTACTATGGTGCCCCAGTTATAGTTCTCAGTATTTTCGATTGAGCCCTTTGGATTATTTCTTGATTACTTATGCAAGCGTTTGCCTATAGTTCGAAGTCATATGTCCAAATTGGTTTGAGAACTGCATTTTACAAAAGTACTCTGTATTCCAGTTTTATTTTAGTGGAGAACGGACGTTTATAAGCAAATTTAGAAAACTAGCTTTAAATTTGAATAGATTTCTCTTAGCTTCGATGTGTTTACGCCCAGTGAGCCGTCTATCCAAGTGGACACCAAGGTATGTTACTTCGGAATTTGTGGAATTTTGATGTTGTTCAGTTCCCTGGGCGAAATTCCCAAATAAGTGGCATAAAGTCGATTAAGGCAGATATCGAGCTGAAACTTGGTGTATTTGATAAATATAGCACTCTAAATATTATAACAAAATTTTAAGTTCATTTGACCACGCCTACCCCAATAGCCCATACATGGCAACAAGGCGTATACGTGATCACAAAGGAAAGTCATAAGAGCTATACAAAAATACTAAAATTTGAAGGGAATGGATTATTCTGTTTGTAATTTTGATGTAATAGTGGTAAATATAAAAATATAAAAAAAAAATGTTGATAAACAATTCTTATTTTGATCAAATTCTTACTTAATGCCAGGTTCTTTATTAATTTATTCTACTATTTAACTATTTCTAACAATTTACATATGTTAAATTATCATTTAGTTGTTTTGTACAGATAATTCAAACGAATATTGATTTATATCCTATAAATGCTCAATGGGATCTCGCGAAAAGGTTTGTTTTTATGTCGAGCTGCCCTCTTCTTAAAAGATATACTTGAGATGAGGGGATCTGATGAGTCCATAGATCATTGGAATACATCCGTCATTCGTATTATTTACCCGATAATTGTGTCGAGCGTGCATTGGCCGGTCACGCTTGTACAATTTATTTTACGCTTCAGACGCATTTTCCCCAAGACAGCCTACCGGCATCACTGATGCAGTTATTATTTGTGATCCATGAACTAAAATTTTATGGAGAGTTGGTGACATAGGATACCAAGAGTAATGCAACATGTATGATCTAATTCTATCTGAGAAATTTTAAAGCCCCGATTGCAAATTTGCAATTAATAGCTATTCAAATAGTATGCAGACTCTCAAGTAACTCCAAATCGAGTTATAAAATTAATGCGAATAATTTCGTATTTGAAAAAGCTTTTCTCGCAGTGTTGCCATCGTTCGAGCTTCCGCTTCCATTCTGTTTTGACTTATCCACATGAAATCCCATTTCTTACTACAATCTTCTTTGTGTGTGTGTTTTTTTTTTTGCAATCATTTCCAATTTGTCATTTTCGTTTCTTACTTGCCATTTTTTAAACCCCATTCTATATGATATTTTAAGCAGCAATTCAAAAATGCGTATCCAAGCATGAAGTGGACTTATCCCATATTGAAAATGCTTAAAGGAATTTGTATCATAACTTTCCATAAATTGTTTTGGGCCTGCACCACATATTGAACACAATTGGCAAGATTTTGTGCCCGTTAAAACGTTTAAAACTTTCCCATCTATAAGAAACATGTGAAGGTCGTATGAGACAGTGATCTTCTTTTCATTTGTTTTTTATTCGGATATCCAAATTGCTTTTTTCTGCAAGAATATGATCTTTTTTTCTTTGGCGAATTCCATTTTGAGGGGTCGGCAAAATCTTGCAGACTGCGGAGTTCTATTATTTAAGAAAATTGTTCCTTCATCGATAAGCTTCAGAGGTATAACGGTAGTAACAAACAAAGATTGATCAACAGTATCCGGTTCCTTCGTTTAAAATCTTTTTTTATACATACTTTGACCAGTTGATCCATCGTATCCGTAACTCGCAATTAATTTAATACTAGAATTTCCTTCTAAGTTAGCGAATAACTCCTCCTGTAACATTATTATGCGGCTGGCAGTGTAGTTTAACAAATCTTGCAAGGCAACTTTTGTCATAGTTTCTGTAACAGTTATTCCCTTAGGTCTCAATTGCAATTGGACATTTTGGTAGCTTGGGCATATGTCACAATAATGCTGTTTGCTTATTTGACGAATTGTATTATGTAATCGTTTGCTTAAAAAATGTTTCAGCAAAAATTCCAAAGCATCATTGGTTGTTAAAGGTATTGGTTCTAAAATATCGAGCTTTCTTAAAGCTTCAGTAGCGTCGCTTTTAGAAGTGCTAAAATTTTTAAGTACAAATGCAGTATCATTTTCATATGATTTCCTGGCTGACATTGTTGCTGCGTTAATTAAAAGTTTGTTATCGTTTTTATTACTGATTGCTAAATGGCAGATGGTTTTCGTTTTAGACGGGGCTCTGCTTCATCATAAGTTAGCTTTGGTCTACCCAATTGAAGACTTTGCGTCTCTTCTTTATTTTCCAAAACAATTTGTATGCGCATTGATAGCCACTGTGAATGCTTTTTATAAATGTGCACACATTTCGGTTGCACTTTTGCAGATTTGAAGAAATATAAATAGCAAAGCTTCTAACTTTCTTAATTTCACTAATGTTTTCGTTGGTCAGTGAGCATTCCGTCAATTGGCAAACTATCCAGTTTGCAAGCGTGGTAGAGTTTCGTCTGTTGTCAATCCATTCGTCTAGCAGCGTTGCATGACTAAACTCAAGCTGATCAAAGTACCGCAAAAGCCGCAAACAGGATTATTACTTACTTTTAATACACATTTCCTACTTTATTTTCGCATACATTATATAACGCACAAACACACAGGTTGGTTTTTACTCCACACAAGAACACATTGGTCTGGTTTTCTCTTTTTTTTTTGACAATACAAAACA